ACTCAAAGTTATGTTATCAAAATTCTGGAAAAGACTATTTCTATAAAAAATCAAATTGTTTCTTTAAATCTGCTTTCAAAAGAATCTATTCTTGCTCATAAGAAGAAATTTCAATATATTCATATTGATCTTGTTCAAATCGATGTCAAACCATTGTTTAGACTCGGTCTAGACATTTTTGTTTTCATAACTTTAAAAGATAAAAGACTATTAAAGTTTGAAAATTCATTACTGCCATGCTTGAGTCAAATCTTGAGAGTGATCCAGTATTTTCAAATTGTTATCCAAATTTTTCAATGAACCTTCAAGATGGAGCTATTCTCAACGATCTTAATTTTCGTATTCAAACAAAAAACTTCGATGTTGATGATCGTTCAAAAGCTTTTGCTTTATTATACAGAGTATATTATAAACTTTTGAACACTCAACTCAATATTCGTGCCATTAAAAGACTCCAAGAGATGAAATTCTTTTGGTTGAAGTCACTCCACTTCATTCAAATATCATGATTTTCAAGAGAATTCCCTGGAATTTTCAAGCAAGAGGTTTAGAGTGGGATTTTGAGAATGCACAAAATCTTGTTCCTACTCCTATAAGAAGGAATCCAGAACAAATTATTCATTTTCCTGATGGTAATGTCAGAGTTATCTTTGACAAGCCATCATCTTCTTCAAATACATTTCAAAGATCTTATTCATCCAGATCTGATGATAGATCTAAAACAAATTCTTTTCAATCTGCTAGATTTCCAACATCTTCCATCAAAGGTGTAAACTTCAATCCAAAAATTTCAAAACCTTTTTATCAAAATGAAGAATTTGACAAAGAAGAAAAAGAAGTAGAACCTCCTACTTCTCTCACTTTATCAAACATGATTCTTCCTCAATCTGAGAAGCTTGATAGGCAATGTAAAGTCATTTCTTTTAAAATTGATAGGAGAAATGAGTTCAAAACTGATCAAACTCATAAAGTCAAAAAATTTCAACATCTTATCAAAAAATCTTTTTTCAAAAGAACAAATTGAGTCTTACTATGAAGAATTTGATAATTCTCTAGAAGAGATTAGTTTTTATGAATTGACTTATTTCAAAGTTTTCAAAAAATTGCCTTGTAAAAAGACTGAACGTCCTGATGACTCTTTTGTCAATGCAACAGATATAAAAAACATTCAATCTCAGAGCAATTACACTAATATTGTTCTTCAATCTATCGCATTCTTCCACTTTTATTTGGTCCAAATTAATCATTGAACTTTCATTGATATTTCATTTAGCTACTACATCTACCTTCGTTAAATTAACAAAAAGATTAAAGCATTTAACAAAAAAATATGATGTAACGTGAACAAATGAAACATTTGAACGTTTGTTCTTAGCATCCTAAAGTTTTATTTGGTCCAAATTAACCATTAAACTTTCATCTTAATTTCACTTTAGCCACTTCATATGCATTTATTTGCTTAATTAACAAACACACTTTTAAGAAAATACGACGTAACATGAAACACACACTAAACATTTGAATGTGCACACGCAGCATTCTAAAGCTCCATCAACAACTGAATATTCATATGATAGAAAGAATGATGTTAGAGCATCTTCTAAAGACTCTAAATACAAAACATTCTCTATTTTAGAGAGTCAATGTTTAAAAATAAGTTTCAAGAAGCTCTCTATTTCAACTTTTTAAAATAAAGATTGAGTTCACGAGCAGAGAGAGAGAGAGAGAGAGAGAGAGAGAGAGAGAGAGAGAGAGAGAGAGAGAGTGTGTGTGTGTGTGTGTGTGTGTGTGTGTGTGTGTGTGTGTTGCAATAAGAGCTCATAGAAGCCCTCCTTAATTTACAAGAAGCCAACTTTGAAGAAAGCAGCAAAACAATTAGCCATTAAGATCAATACAGAGTCTGATCCTTAACAAAAACAATCTGGAAGTCTGTCTCTTAAAAATTTGTATAAACACAAATTAAGAGTACAGAGCCCTATCCTTAGGACCTTAGCTTTTTGACTTGGAATGCTTAACTAGCCAATTAATGACCTGGTCGATGTTGGTCAAATTCTTGCACGAGATCATAAAATAGCACACCTTTCTACCAGTTAGAGATTTTAATTCCCTGCACCATACATTACATTTATAAATGTCAAATACAGAAGCCCCAGAGAAAAAAAAAGCATGCAATCAGACACAATTATGCCATTTTCTACTTACATTTGATAAGTCAAACCCTTCTTGGATAGGGCTTTAACCTTGTCAATTTTGTTTCCTAATACCAGCAAAGGAATGCCACTCAGTGTTGGTTTACTCAGTAGATCATGGAGTTCACGTGGGAGATGTAGATATTATCATGATCGGCAGCATCAACAACGTAACTGCATCAAATCCAATTACAAAAAACTAATTAGCTTGTCACGATGGTATAAATAGAAGAATTTGTCTTTAGTCAGAGGTAGCTGCATACACAATAGCAGAAACTCCTCGACAGTATCGCTTCCACATACTTCGGAATCTGGGTTGACCTCCAAGAACCCACAACTTTATTGCGACTTTCCCTTTAGTGAGCTTCCGCATATTAAATCCTACCTAAAGGATCAAATTCGTAATAAATATAATTAAATGCCTCCATAACCCATGATCAACAATCAGCAATAATAAAAGCGGAAAGGGATTTTACGAAGAAAACTTACTGTAGGGATCATGTCTTCACAATATACACCAACCTAAGAAAAGAACAACAAAGAAAATGCACAATTTTTTTGACCAGATAAATGAAAAGATGTGGAAACAATCACAAATATATGGAAGGATAAGTAACATGTGTGTCCTCACAAAAACACACGCACATCGATTTACTTACAGCGACAGCATTTACAAGTGAAGTTTTCCCAGCATTTTGAAGGCCTATCAATGAAATCTCCATTTCCTGCTTGAAGAAAAAGTTGTAAATGTGCTAAAAAAAATAATAAATAAATAATGTCAGTCCATTCAATTTGAAATAACTTAACCATGAAAAATCAAAACCATATAAAAGCATGCTCCATTGATCCCAACCATGGAAATGTTTCTTGTTAAGTTCTATATTTTACTTCATTTTTGAGAGTGTAACTCATTAAGCAGCTATACCATAACTCTCTGATTTCATAGCTTGATGATCGAAGTTAGTCGTTAAGAAGCTTGGTCTTATTTTCTTTTGAAACTTCTCTCACGATATAGATGATGCAACAGCAACTATGAAGCTGATGATGCAGTAGCAGCAGCTGATCCAACCGCCTAGCTGGCATGGTAGTTAAATTCAGTTAGGACAGCTAGATAAATTCAGTTGGGTAGTTAAATCTGTTGATATAGTTAAAGTTGCTCCTAGTTAGTTAAAGTTGTTGATAGTTTGTTCCAACTGATAGATGTAATTTTCCTTTTTATACTTGACAAATGTAATAATTTCAATTCAAGAAATAATATTACAGAATCATTCCATTCTTCCTTCTCTGTTTTTACTTTCCTTCTTTGTTAATTTTCTTCTTTATCCCTTCATGGAGAAACTATTTTTCTCAGCTCGAGAATCCCACATGGTATCAGAGCTTAAATTCTTCAATTAAGCTTCTGCTATTCTGAATTAATTCATGGCGAATTCACTCTTCAATCCAGCTGATGATCCAACTAGTTATATCTTCTTACATCCCAGTGATAATCCGGGTGCCTTAATCATTTCTGAAGTTTTTAATGAAGAAAATTATACATCTTGGAGCCGCTCAATTTCTATGGCATTGAGTGTACAGAACAAGACAGCCTTCATTGATGGATCATTGCCATTTCAAAATCCATCTTTTGGTGCTCTATACAACTGTTGGATTCGCGCCAATGAACTTGTGTTGTCTTGGTTATTGAATTCAATCAATAAGGGGATTCGTTAAAGCTTGCTGTATATTTCATCTGCCTGTAAAGTTTGGAATTAACTTAAAACTAGGTACATTCGTAGTGATGGCCCTAGAGCATACCACTTGGAAAAATCCTTGAGTTCCATTTCTTAAGGATCACAAACACTTACTGTATACTACAACTTCTTCAAAGCTAAATGGGATGAGTATATTAGCTTCAAACCCCTCCCTAAATGCAACAATGGAGTGCTCTCTAGCTGCACTTGTGATATATTACGTAGCATTTCTGATATCCAGCAATCAAATGCTATTATGAAATTCCTCATTATACTCAATGAATCTTATTCTAGATTAAGGAGCCAACTGCTCCTAACTTCTCCACTTCCATCACTAGCACGAGTATATGCACTTCTCCTTCAAGAAGAAAGCCAACGAGACCTACACAATCACTCATTCTCTGATTCCGCTGCAATGGTAGCAAGACAGTTCACTAGAGCATCTAACAGGCCTATACTTTGTAAGGATAAGAAGAAGCCAAAATGCACCCACTGTAGTTAACCTAAATCACACAGCAGATAAATGTTTCCAACTCATAGGTTATCCTCCTGGTTGGAAAGGACCTAGATGAGCACGAATGCAATCTGATATTCCTCATGCTCATGCTGTGACATCTGATCAATTTGGGAATAATGGGGAACCAAGTACTTTATTCAATCCAGATCTTTACCAACAATTCTTAGCTTTTTCTAAAAGTCAGCAAAATTCAGTCACCAAATCAGCATCCACCATCACAATAGGTATCCCCAAACCATTTTATAATACGGCCTATCTCAAA